GGAGGGGCCGCCTTTTTGGGGCGGGCCCCCCAACCTTAAAAAATTCCCCTTAAATAGCCCCCCCATTTTTGTGGGGGGGGGGCCGGCACTTTCCAACCCCGTTTTTTGCCCCCGCCCCTTGTGGGGGGCCTCCCCCCCCCCCCCTGGTTTTAACCCCCCCCCCCCCCCCCCCCCCCCCCCCCCGCCCAAACGACAACTCTACAAACACGTAACAGGCGTACTTCGCCAAGTTTCGTATCTCAGACGAAAGCTTCTTCCAGACGACGCTCTGCCACCCGGCCGCCCCCTCGGCCTTCCCCGTCCACAACGACAACCTCCGGCTTGTCAACTGGCCGTACTTTGACCCGGAGACGGAGTGGGTGCTTCACCCTGACCCGGTGCAGTCCAAGCACGTGACCAAGCTCATGAAGAGCGGCGCGCTTTTCGCGAGGAAGTTCGAGCTGGGCACGAGCGACCGGGCCTGGTCCGACATCGAGGGGTTATTATCGGAGAAGGTGGGGGGGGGGGGGGGGGCTGGTTCTTTGAGTTCTTGGATGTAGAGGGGCTGCGCTCGTATCATGGCACGCAGAAGGCTCTCGTTGAGGTTCTTGGTTTGACTCGACAAGGAGGAGGAGGAAGGGAGGCCTTCACCGTGTACTAATTGTGTATTGGAGAAAAAAACAAGACTACACAACTACAAATGCAAGCAAAGCTAAAGGGGCTATCTTCGCACACCTGTTTGCGTACGGGGCCGGGCAATATGCATCGTCGGGTTTTCCGTAGATCAGGCTGTACATAGTCCCTCCACGCACCCCAGAGGTGAAAGCTACAGATCCTCTCACCGAGAAAGGCAACAGAAACAGCAGTGCACATGGTGTGAGAATGTGCGCTATGTCGTGGGCATTCTTCTCCACGCGCACCTATTAGTTGCGGAGGGCGTTCTTTGTACCACTCCAGCACACCCAGGGCGCGCGCACTGCCAAGCCCGACGTCTTACGTTCATCTCCATCCGACTACTAAATAGCGCGGTTGTTCTCACAAATGGAAACAACACACGCACTTGCGCGCGCCCACGCACACACACACACACACAGGGAAAACACGTGGGAGAAAGAATACTACGAGTTCTGGAGCGCGGGAAGCCGGCGCGGAGCGTTCGTGGGCGGGAGGAGTTCTGCACGGTGCCGGAGGGCTACGACCTCGACTACATCCTCCGACATCAGAAGATCAAGCGAGAGCGAAAATCGCCGGATAGCCGGTGACACAAAGACGGCCGGGAGTGGGCTGAGAGGCTAGCTAGCTATGTCCCAGAGCGGAGTCGAATCGTCTCCCTTTTTCTCCGCCGGAATACGGGGTGGGGTGTGTGTGGGGGGTATACTCGCATCCCGCTTTTCCTCGAAAAGCTATCTACGGCGCTGCGTGGGGGAGAAGGAGGCGGGCTCGGCGACGAGGGCGGTGGAAGGAGGGGCGGGACACCTGCGGGCTTGATTTTGTAGTTTGCGTGATAAAAAGAGGGTTTGGGCTTGCTTCTGCCTGAGTTCGGGTTGGCTGTTGATGTTCGAGGCTCAGGGCGTGATTTGAGATGCAGATAGTGGTCGGTACGATTCATCTCCTTTTTTATTGCAGTTGTGCGTCGGTGTACGCGGTACGCACCTGCGGTTGTGCTAATATTTTTATGTTGTTATTTGTTCATGTGTTCGTTTGGGCAGGGGGCACCTGTTGGCGGGGGGTTGGCGTGGGGAGGTGGAGTGGGGGGTGCGCTCTTCGTGCACCCGACCGAGAACGCGAGAGATGTTCGCGCGCCTCGCTCTTTTTTTTTTTCTTCGTTTTTTCGCGGGTGATTTAAATTGAGTGCTGTAGAATCTGCGTGCGTGTCACCTGTTTGTTGAGAAGCGTGAGTATTTTGCGTTTGATTGTTGTGCCCTTGTTTTCTGGCACCACTGCTGCTGCTGCTGCTGCTGCTGCTGCTGCTGTCCTAGCATTGTGCAGGCGCAGACGGACTTTTGCCGGAAACAGGTTCAAGTGTGCAGATGCGTGCGATGCGTCAAGTAGTGAATGAATTGTGAAGAGACGCGTGTCCTGGTCCACGGCCTGCCGGCGCAGCCACCTGTGTTGTTTCTTGTGGGATGCTGCGATCGAACAATTATCAAGCAGCAGCCAGGTACCCAAAGCTTTGTTTGCCAACCCCGCGGTGGTAGCAGTAGTGCTGCATTGCTGCGTTGCGGTCTTATGTCGACGCCTCTCTCTTTGGCAGTTTGGTTGAAAATGGCGCTTGTTTGAGGGGCACCGGGACAGAACGCAGACGGGTTCACGAGAGCCTGGCCAGGAAATGTCTTTTGGTGTGCGCGGGGGGGGGGGGGTTCTCGGCGGTGTTTTGTTTATTCCTGGGAAAGGTGAGCTGCTGTTTTCGAACGACCCTTCCGGCAAGACGGAAAAAAGATGTGCACGCACACATCCGTTGTGTTTGTGCCACCTGCTGGAAACAATAAAATGGTCCCGAAACGCATGTCTTCTTCCCTCCGAATGCCTGATGGGGGAGGCCAGCCCCCCGTTCAACGCTTGATGTCGAACTTCTCGTGCAACGTGGGTGTGTTTTTATTATTAGCATCGACCGCGCTAACCGGCTGACCAATGAAAAGACGTCAGTGCCAGCGGGTAAAATCAAGTCCCTCATGTGTGTGTGTGTGCATCGTTTGATCGCCCTCTGCGCGGGCCAGGCAGTCAGTACCCATAGACCACAAGGGATTGCTTATTATCACACGTCTATCTATGTAGTAGTTTCATGGGGAGCACTGTTGCCTGTTGCCCTGTAGGGGCGCAGTTCTGCTCTGATTTTTCGGACCATCGTTAAGAGAGAGAGAGAGAGAGAGAGAGTGTACGAGATTTTGTCGGCTGTTCCTGCGTGTAGGTCTCTTTTGTCTTGTCTTTGCCACGTGCTGTGGCAAGTTACTGCAGTCAGTGCCTCTTGTTTTTTTTTTCTTTTCTTGTCTTTTCCGGGTTGTGGTGTTTTTTTTCTTCTTTTTTTCTGGGTTGTGACGTATGCATACGTTCTCGAAATATCGTAAGTTGCCCTGCCGAAGTATCGAAGACGCGACATGGTTGTTCACTCTTGTTCAGAAGGTAGCGTTCTTACGGCGGGAGTAGGAACCGCGGTGTGGTTGTGTCGAAAATTCGTCGTCAAAGAAAGCTTTGGCGACGACACAGGGGAGACTCCGTCCGTGTGTGTGTCTCCACGTACGTGACATCGAAGTGTCAAGCAATTTTTCGTCAGGAAATGAGAAAGTGAACGGTGTGGTGGCAGAAAAGAAGAGAATCGTCTCTTTTCTACGTCTCGCTCTTAAGTGCTTGTACACAAAAAACATGTTTTGGTCTTCAATCGTTGCCTCTTGTGTCTTGTTTTTTATATTGTGTGCGTATGTGGTGCTTGCCAAACGAAGTGATGTTGTAAAAGCTATTGAACGTCTTTCAGATCGTTTCGACTTTTTATGTTTTGCAAGCTTCTTCTCTGTCAATCTTGGCGTCGTCTCGTGCTCTAGACTAACTATCGATTGCCGGGACCAAGCAAGTAGAATCATACTGGCCCGCATCTGTGCCATCGAACAAGCGAAGTTTGCTTCGCTTGCTGCCGGGTGGAAAATCTCAACCGTCTGCATGCTTGCATGTTTGTGTGACAAGCTATATTATACGCAAGCACCCCATTGGTGAGGCCACTGCATTGGCACCCACCTTTCTTGTAATCAGGTTGTCGTTAAACCTTGACATTCGAAAACATCATCACCTATTACATCATTCGTATCGGGGCAAATATATTGTGGCCCAACGAAATCCTAGAAAAAGCGATGCTCCCCCGCCTCGCCCCCCTGCTCCGCACAAGACCTTGCTACACCCCTCCTGTTTGTGCAAACATCGCACCACACCAAGCATAGACTGTAGGTGCCACGATGAACGGCAGAGAGTGTGGAACATCAGGCCGTCGACATTAACCGCAAGGCGCTGTTCGCCTGATCCCGGAGCTGTTGGTCCGTCGCCCCAAACCTGTCCAAGACGGGTGGTGGGAACACAAGAACGAAAAATCAACTGAACCTATGCACAAACAGGAGATTCTGGATTTGATGAAAGACGCATATTTTACCTTCGTTCTCGCGAGACGGCCCTGGAAAAAATAGAGGCAAACTCAAACTCTCTGTAAACAAGGCGCGGGAACGCATGTATATATGTGGCGCACTTTTCGATAGTGGCCCCGATCAGTCTGGGTACTCCCGACGACTTCATCACCCGGGCGGGGGCGCGCCCCGCCGCCGCTATCTCGCGCACGCACGCGATGCCCGAGTACTGTGCGCCTCTGTCGCACGCGACGCGGTCGCTGTTGGCGAGGACAGTGTGTATCCAGTGAGGAAGCCCAAGGCCGCTAGCGGTTCTGTCGTTGCAGCCGTTGTCGCCGCTTTGGACCCACGACGCCCCCCGGCTCCCTTCCCTCTCTCCTCTTCGTTCTCCGCTTGTTCGTGAGTTTCTTTCTTCTCCAAGATGCTTATATGCTCCTTGTTGGTGTATTCTATCTTCCTCCCCACGTTCTTCTTGGTGGGGTTTCCTGTCCCCTGCTGCCCGTCCCTCCTCCTCCGACATCGCCGTTGCTCCCTCCCCCCCCCCCTGCTCCAAACCAAGCAACCTTCGGCGGTTCGCACGACACCCGAGCAGGTTGGCGAGGCACCCCAGTGCCCACGATTGGGTGCGCGGGCAAGCGCCGCCGAACTTAGCGCAACTCTTGAGCACCTTGCATACTTCCTCACAGCCCCCTTCGTGCCCGATGCTGGTGGGTGGGAGGTGGGGGTGGGTGGGGGGGGTGGGGGGGTGGTAGGTGCCCGTTTGTTTCATGCTCTCATATCCATCGATCCCCTTCGGGGTTTACCGAGTTCCCCGTCAGAAAAGATACGGACAGCTAACTTCCGCAGGTTTTTGTTACGTTGAGGATGCCTCGACATTGGGCGGGTACTTGCGGCGGGGAGTCGGGGAGCAAAAAAACAAAAAACGCCTGTTGGTCCGTGCTTGTTTTCCCGAGGAGGTGGTGTTTCAATTTCAGCGTGGCGGTAGCACTAATCTTCTATTTAGCTAGAATTTCAAAGCAAGGACAACGAACAACGACAACAAGCAACATATATCTGCTGCTGGGGATAGGGGTTCGCTCGCTTACATTCGGCTGAACTCGGCCACCTGCGACAGGAGCGCCAAGAGCCAGCAGGCGTTCTCCTGCACGTCTCGGCACCGACCGAGTTCTCGGAGCATGGATATCGAAGCCTCGATCCCTCCCGCGCGGCCTTTTCGTCCCCGGAAACGGCGGAGAGAGAGGCCAAGCAAGGCGAGGGTGTGAAGGAGTGGGGTCTACCTGAAACTGACACCCTCGCGTGCAAGCTTCTGCGCCGGCTGGGTCCCAGACCTAACACGGCGGCCTTGGTGAACGTTGAGTCGTCGCCCGGCGTGTCTATGCTTCGGCTTCATCTAGAGCTGCTTCGCCTAGATATACACGTAATAGTCACGCAAGAGGTCTGTTTTGCTTCCCAAGGGCGGGGGTAGGGTTGACACGGAGACAGTCGGTGACACTACGACCCGTCCCAGACCAACGGGGCCCCGCGCTACCCCCTCTAGGCTAACACCCCGCCCACCACGTCTGCCTGTCCTCGTCAGAGGCGTCTCCCCTGCCTGTGCCACGCCACACTCTCTCCTGTGTCCATAACGCACCCTACCTACCTATCTCTAGCAGCGTCTGGCGGTTGTCGGAGGCCAGCCTCGCCAGCGCCTTGAGTCCCGGGCGGCGCACGACCTCCACCTCTCCCGAAGATGTGACGATGGCCAGCACCGCCTGCACGCCTCGGCCTTCACAGGCTTCAGCGAGAGCCTCTCCTTCTGTTCGTCGAAAACCGTTTGTTGGTTTCGTTTTTCGTTGTTCGTTTTTCGTTAGTTGTGTCATGATGGAACATTTATTTGTTGTTTTCATGGAACGGTCCGCCCGAGAAAAAAGGGAATGGCGGAACAAAGAGCATTTTTTTCTAGGGGATACATATGGGCGGGGCGAAAATATTTCCAATTGCCATCATTGCACTATCTGTGTGCGAGTTCTTGGTGAAGTAAGAGGTGAGGGGGTGCTTGAAGCACCGTCCTGTGAGACTTCTTGGAATACGGGGAGCGAAGGGCTAGGGGTCTGGGAAGGACAGGGCACCGTGTGTTTGTCGCGCCGAAGCCCCTCCGGTGCTCAACGAAAGGGGCCACTCGCTCCAATCCGCGCGTGTCCCAAACGTGCTTTGCCGCTTTCTTTCACCGCAACGTAGTACAGCTGCATGGATAAGCTTTTGAGCCGAAAGAATAAGTCTCTTCGCCACCAAATTGAAGACAAACGAATCGTCGACTACGTGATAACGAAACAAGCGATTCCCTTCGCCATAGAGCTGGGCAGGACACAGCCCTTCTCACTTCTCACAACGAGCATGGCGTCTACGCGCGCCCGCACGCTGCTTTCAAACCCGCTCCAAACCAGCAAAAGATCGAGAGACGGCTGTTTCCCCAACAATAGCTTAAACGACCGATGCCCTTATTACCGCCCCCCGCCGCTCAACCAAGATACCCGACCCCGAGTACCTAGCCGCCCCCACGTTAAGAACACAATTGCTACCTTCTGGGCTGAGTTTGACCAGTTTGGACGAGGATGCCCCGCCCCCGTCGCCACTGTTGGCGTGGGGTTTACTGCGGACAGTAGCTTCCGCCACCACGTCTGAAAGGTGAGCCTTCGTCCTCTCTTGCATCAGCTTGCGGTATGACGTCTTGCGGGTGTTACCGGGGGGGCATGATGGGACGACAGCCGGAGGGCTACGGCCGGTTGACGGCGAGGCGTGGGGGGTAGCAAGAAAGAGCGTGGTGATGTGGTGATAGCCATGGACTACGGGCACGAAATTTTTGCATACTCGATGTCGATCGCACGTAAACCCCAACCTACACCTTCACTCCGCCGATGCGAGCCTCAGCAGTTCGCTCCTTCTTGACTCTCTCGTGCGCTAGCCACTCCCCCATCTGATGCATGCCCGAAAGCAGGAGAAGCCCATGGTGCGTCCATTCCTTCTCTGGCGCCAACCCCCGCCGCCGCCGCCGCCGCCGCAGTCGTCGTCACCCACCACCGCCGGCCGATACGCAAGTGAGGATCAAGCATCGGTGGGGTGACTCTTGGTTTCTCTACTAACCGGCAGGGACAGTATCGTCGGAGGTGTGCAACTCGTCTGCATGAGGTTGGTACTACCAACGTTTCGCGGTTGCCTTTGACTTGTCTTTCACACAGTAGGCAGGAGCGAGTGTGAGACCAGCCTTCTCGGAGAGGGGCGCCCCGACGCACACCGTGGCGCCGGCGTTGCTTGTTAGATTATTAAGCACTTCGTGTACGTAATCCTCAGGCCGAAACAACAGGCCCTTCGTGGACTTTAACCAGGAAAAATGCATTTATTGCTAATTCCAGGCCCAGCAAACCGAGTAGAGACAGCAATGCGACTGATCCACGTCTACATCGAGCCGTCTGACTCGGAGCCCGTTCAATAGTTGAGCTCAAACGGAAGAACGGCGTTGTGAATGCCGGGGGGGAGGGGCAGGCAGGAGACGGGGGGGGGGCAACACGTTTGGGCGGGCGCAAGGGTAACGCGGGATTGTACCGCCGAACCTCTCCAAGAGTTTGCCAACAATAACAGAACCTACCGGAGTACCGCCCGAGGTGTAGGCCGACGGGGACGTACTTTCGTCCTCCGATCTTTTTCAACAGGGGGCAGCCCTCCACCATGTCACGGTCTCCCCGTGGGTCGACGCGATACTTGACGGACACCTTCGTTTTCATCGTGCGGTGAGTGAGTGCAACATCACGTAGCTTAAACAAGAACAGAATGAGGAAGGCTAAACACACGGTGGGTTGGGGGCATGCAGGCTGTTCACCCAACCACGTTTTGTGGCCATATACTTACAGTAGTCAATTTTGCTTGTGTGAGGGCCCCATCAGGCATGGCTGAATTCCGGGGCAATGCAACGCTGTGTTTTGCAAACACGCAGTGCCCTCCTGCAAAACCTCGTTCGCTATTCTTCGCGCGCGCTGCAGTTTGCGCCTGTTCAACAGCTCGCGGACGTCGTTCCACCCGTCCGTTAGCCACGCGGGCTTTCTCAGATGGAAGAGCGACACCGCATGAGTATACTATGATATTGAAGATCCATCATGCAATAGCGACAGCGTACCACGGCAGTAAAGGGGTTCAACGTGAAACTACTTTGTGGCTTCCCCTTCTCTTGAGCAACTTCGAACCTCCGTGCCCCCCCCGCCTCTGCCTCCGGCTTCAACCCTGAAAAGTGTCCCATCTCCGCTGAGGAGCCGAGACGACACTGCGACGCAACTACCCGAGAGCAATCGACAATACCGCCTCTACTCCCACCCGATCGTTGTCCGCGCCTTGCTGCAAATGACCAATTGCATCTAAATGTATTTACCTGGCCATCCGGGTTTTGTTCTATGAGCCACGCAACGGCCTCCATCTCCTCCCAGGAGCCCCCAGGAGCGTCAGGCGGCTGGAACAAGTGGATGGTCTCGCCAAGGCGTAGGATCTGCGGATGCGCGTGACTGATCTGCGCGGCACGTGTTTGAGAAAGAAATGCACCAGCGTATGTTACCCCAAGAGAGACAACAGGGGGATGGGAGGCGATATGCGATTTGTCAGTTGGGGGAGACGCGTCGTTTGGGCCAGAGCGTGGTAGTGCAAGAGAAGCAGGGAACAAGATCTTTGTGTAGGGTCTGATGAAGTATTGCACATTATAAACACGCGTCCTTGAAGCGGAAACCTTTTCTGGTCATACTACGAGTGTTTCAACCCCCTGCAAGCCAAGATATTCTACCTCTGCTTTCAAGTCGATGACGTATGGTCGCAAGAGGTTCTCTCCGGTGGGGCCCGCCTTCTCATTCTTGTTGGAGGCATTGGTGCTAGTGTGGGTGGTGTGGGTGGTATTGCCGATGCTGTTGGTGGTGGTGACGCTGTTGTTGTCATGAAAACTACCACGGTCATGACCTCCGAGGTCGCGTCTCTCGGCGCCCGTTTCCGCCGACGTCTTGGCTGCAGCCTGAGCTTCATACCCGGTCCACCCGTCTCGGGGAGGCTGCTTTCCGCCCATGTCGCCGTTTTTCTTGGGGGTATTCCCGCGTACCCTGCCCCTCTTTTCCTGTGCTATGGATCCGATGTTGCTATCGGCTACTGGTGACGCTTCCGAGGCTGACACATCGTTTCCGCCACCAACTCCCTTGTTCCCGACGGCCGACGTGGAAGGAAAGCCCGGGCGTAACCGGGACATTCCGGCCACTACTGTGTCGAGGATGGCGCAGCTCAACATAGCCGGCGCCGGGCTGGGGTTGAAGTCAACCGGAGGGAAAAAAAAACTTGCCGCGTCGGTACGGCACTCCCACACGAGCTATATGCAACATGCCGCCCCCGAAGGAGATTGGTTGGCGCATGGCATGAGAGAATAGACACAATGAAAGACCGAGAGACAGAGAGACAGACAGAGAGAAAAAGAGAAGATGTAGAGATAGAGAGTAGAGAGAGAGAGTGACACAGAAAGACAGCGGGAGGGAGAGTGGTTGCGGGAGTATCACAGTGAGACACATTTGGATGAAAAGACGGATGGCGGATACATGTACGACAGCAACATGATATTGTGCGAAACAGAAGTCACGGTGCTACAAACCCATTTGTTTGCTTACAGTCTCAACAGGTAGGGATTAGGAATGCACTGTGGATGTGGGTGGTTGGAAAAGAGGGGAGACAAGGTGTGTTGCGACTGTCGCTGTTGCGTGCAAGGACGTTCATCCGCTCCGTATGTTCTGAGGAGGCCTCCGTTGTAATAAAACCTCTAAGCAGAACGCATCCATCCTTACCGCTGTACCGTTAGCCTTGTAGAACAAGCACGTGGCGTATTGCGCCGCAAAGGCGTCTGAGAAAGCCGCCCGTGTCGAAACCACGTATAAATCTGCAGAAAGGGTGGCAAAGAAGGCATTGCAACCATTGATTGCACTATTAAAAGGCGGTCTAAATCCAAGATAATCGAAGCATTAGGGCTGGAAATTCGAAAACGACCCATCCGGCTTTGGGAGTCCCAAACTGAATGTTACGCCCGTAGAGGAATTTAGGCAATAGCGACGTGTGCGTTGGTACGCTCAGACCCTTCGCTAGAGCCGGGGTGCGGAGGTGAATGATAGGCTGCAAAGGTCTGCGAGTCTACATACAACAGTTAATCAGACGTCATTCACAGCACGGCGGCTGTGTTTCTGCTCATACAGCATATGTACATGCAGCTTTTTTGCGGTGTACATGCATCAGAGGACAGATTAGGCATCCGCACACCTGATGCACCATTAATTGCTTCTCACATCATTTTTCGGCGCCACCGTAAGGGCCAGCTGACCTCTCAGCACACGGAATTGTAACAACGAAGGCTCGTACCAATCGTCGGCGGGCACAGCTCTCCTCATGGACGGAGGTGTATGTCCGCCAAAAAAAATCAACGATCGCTCGCTCACCTCCCTTGTTGTCGCCTATACCACCCACAAGTAGCCCCACCGAGCGCCAAAGTATTACCCCACGCCTAAACCCGGTATCGCGAACAACTATCTGGCAGATGGAACCCCTCTTGGCTTCATCTCGGGGCCACGCCGTTCCTCGTAGGGCCTGCAGGTCGGTAGAGTTTCCCGTTCTTCGGTCGAGGAAGGACAAGGCGTTCTCGCTTTGTTGGGCTAACTCTACCGCCGCTCTAGCACGCACCGAGAAGCCATCCATGGGGAGAACAACTTCCTCCGTTTCATCATCCACAGGAACCTTGAGTTTGGTAGGCATCGGGCGAGAAGCTTCAGGGTTGTGCGTGCGGTTGTGCGCAAGCACAGAGCACAGAGTATGTGTAGATGTGTACATCGCATAGATTTGATGGAACAACCAGTTTCGTTTCGCGATATAGAGAACCAGTTCTATGCGGGATAATACGACAAATACCCAGCCTGCACTTCACCTCACACCTCGCACCTCGCGCCTCCTACTGGCTATATCGTGCTGGCTCTTTCACTACTGGCCAGTCTGACTCGCGCTGCGGCAAGCTAACACGCGGGTTTGTGATCTTAAGGTGGTGCCGAGGTCTTCTTGCTCCCGAGTCGCCACTTCAGGTACGCAGAGGACAAGCTTGGTACACACAGCAGTTCCCCAAGAGGCGGAACCCTCAACTTCAAACACAACAAATCGATTTGGACTACACAGCACTACAACCAGTACAAGTACATACTGGTATTTTGGTAGTCGCGGCGCGGATTTATACCATACTCCACCTCTGCACCGGGTACACTACTACCCGACACCCCCCCGCGTCGACCCACTCACCTTCCTAATGGTGTAGAATGTGTCAGACTATGGATGTACCGCAAGGTTGCGTGTACATATCATTTTCGCCTTCGCGAACCCCTCCTTGTGCGATGACTCCGGACAGTTGTTGTTGTTGTTGTCTTCACATTAAAAACCGTTCCGATCTCTCTCTACCCAGTACCTTCGTATGTCCGTACTGATCCAACACTCGACGCGGTCGATTCCCGTGGTCACAGGTTAACTTACCCTAAAAAGGTACACTCAAATAAACTGGCCCCGAGGGGTCCGCAAGTCAATAGAAATCAACGACAGATATTCTGGGATCCTCCACTCCCTCTTCGCGCTATGCGAGGTATCAACTGAGACTAGCAGTCACTATCTATCATAGGCCGGAGAGAAAGAGGTACACCCCCTTGGTTCAATCTTGGTACTTCACAACGCAAGCAGAGGCAAGGCCATCTGGCACAGAAAAAGAAAGAAAAAAGAGAGAAAAAAAAAGAAAAAAGAGAAAAAAAGGAGAAAAAAGAAAAATGGAAACCGTAAGAAGAGAAAATAAATGAAAATAAAATGAAAAAGGGCGAGGACAAAGAGGGACCAGGCCGAAAATAACAGGAAGTATGAGGCAGAACAAGGCACACGGTGGAGAGACCACTAACGAACAAGCAAACACGCAAACATGGCCACCAACCAGCGATACATTGTAATGGTACGAAATCACTACTACTGGGGGGTTGGTGCAATGGTGCAGCGTTGGGGGGGGGGGAATTGGCGAAAAGAAATTCAATCCGGCACGTGTCGTGCCACTCGGTCCGTCTCTTCTCGTTTGCTTTCTTCCCTCGCCGTCTCGTCCGTCTCCTGCCCCCCTCCCGCCCCATTGGTTGTTGGCTTGTGGTTTCGTTTGCGCGCTCGTTGTCGGCTGGCCTCTTCTTCCTTCTCGTGCCAGGAGGTCATGAACCTCTCAGCTCCCTGCAGCACCGCCGCATGCCAGGGTACTCCCCCCTCCACCTTCGCGGCTTCCGTCCACCTTAACTTCGGTTCTGTGTCTTTCGGTACGGGAATTCCGAGACAACTTGGGTCGGTTTTCGTAGATCAGTGGTCGGCCCCGAATGCCTTCAGGTCGTCGAGCACACACTTCGGCCAGTTCTGTTCCTGTCCCCCCCTACGTGGCTTCTCCCCCCCCGCCAGCTCGCCGAGCATCAGTCGTTTCGGGAGTCGCCCGTCCGGCTGCCTTGCCATTGCTCCCGCGAACAGTAGGCGTCGTTGTCGGATCGTGGCTTCAACGCTCTGGCATTCGACCCTCTTCAGCGTCTGGGCGTACGAGAGCTGCCGGTAGGTGTCTTTCTTGCGCTTGTACCCGATAACTCGAAGGAGCAGTCGGTGGTGTGTCGACCGCAGCGTCTGATAGTGGCCGCTGAGTGGTGACCATGTCATGCAGCCGTACAGCAGTGCCTCCATCGCCTCCGCCTGGAGGAGGCGGATCTTGAGTCGGAATGGCGCTTTCGGTCTGTCGAAGAGCTCCTGGCCATATCGCCTGAGGCACGCCCACGCTCCTCTGCTCCTGTAGCTGATCTCCCGGGTGAGGTCGCCATGTTCGTTGACGAGGCCACCGAGGTACCGGAACTCGGTCGTCTGGGCGTATTTCTGTCCCGCGGCTTCGATAGTCAGTGGTGGAGGAGGCGGGGGGGGCTGTGATGTTGCAGTCGGCTTGTCCTTCGCGCGCATCAGGAGCGTCTCCGTCTTCTTCTCCGACACCGTTAGCCCGAACTCTCCGAACACCTCAACGATGATGGTCATCATTCTCGCCAGTCCTTCTGCAGACCTCGATACGACGCCGGCATCATCGGCATACAGCATCCCCCATACTGCCCTCCGTACTCGGTCAAGGGGTGTCTCCTCCCTCCCCCCCGCTTCTGTCTTCCCCTCCTCCAAGCACACCAGGTTCCGCAGAACAACATCATCCTCGCTGAATCGGATAACGACGACCTCGAGGACCTCGGCGAAGAAGATGTTGAACAGCAGTGGGGATAGCACACATCCTTGTCGCACGCCCTGTGTGACGAAGAACCAGTCCGATAGTTCTCCGTCGTCCATGCGCACCCGGGCCCGCATTCCATCGTGGAATTGGCGGATGACTTTGATTAGCTTCGCGGGAATCCCGGCCCTGGCCAGCACCTTCCATAGCATCTCTCGGTCCACCGAATCATACACCTTCTTCAAGTCGACGAAGCACATGTAGAGCGGTATTTTCTTTCTCCGCCCCAGCTCCTGGAGGCGACGCACGACAAACAGCATGTCGACGGTGGATCGCCCGGGTCGAAATCCGCACTGTTCCTCCGGGAGGATGTTGTTGGCTTCGCAGAAGGCGCTTAGACGGTTGGTGGTGATCTTGATGGGAACCTTGCCTACGTGATATAGTAGCGAAATCCCCCTGTAGTTGTTACAGTTGGACCGGTCACCCTTCTTGTACAGCACCTTGATGGTTGCGTCCTTCCGCTCTTGGGGGATATCTCCTCCGTTCCACACCTTGACGAGGATGGTATGGAGGTGTCTCAGGACAACGCGTTCGTCGTCATCGATCTTGAGCAATTCGGCAGGGAGGGAGTCATGGCCGGGTGCCTTCCAGTTCTTGAGGCCTTTCGCTGCCCGTGCCACCTCCTCGAGGTCTGGCACCTCTCCCAACCGTTGACTGTCACGTGTCGCTGGCCGCTGCGTCACTCGTTCGATGATGTCTGGGTTCAGGGTGGGGGATTTGGTGTTGAGTAGGGTGCTGAAGAATCTCGCCCACCGTTGGAGGATGTCGTCCCTGTTCCGGAGCAACACGCCGTTCTCATCCGCGACGAACTGCTGTCCCCCCGCTTGTCTCCCGCTGAGGCCCACTCATCTCTTGAGGTGTTGGTACAGTCCTCTCATGTCGCGATCTTTGTAGATTGCTTCGAGTTCAGTCACATATCCGTCCAGATGGGCATAAATGCCCGTTTCGACTGCTGTAGCCACTCCCTTACACGCTGCTTTGAGAGTTCTCCACGTTGCTGAGTTCCAGTTGCCCCTCATCGCCCGGCGCGCTTCCCGCCGTGTGGTAAGGGCCTCCTCCAGCACTGCTCTCGTCTCTGGGGTCTCACACCACCCCTGCGTGCGGCGTCTCCGCGGTTCCTCCCCTAGGGTCGTCCGCGCTGCTTCGAGGAGAGCCTTGGTAAAGTCGGTCGCCAATCTCCGCGGCGGTGGTTATTCGTTCGTCCAGTCGTGTGTCGAGGTTGAGGAGGAACCGATTAGTCACCGCACCTCGTGCTGCTTCGAACTGCAATTTCCGTCGGTTGAATTGCTGCTGTTTCGGTTTAGTCCGGACTGCACGGTTGTGGGCAAGCCTGCCACCGAGGTTGACGGTGGCTACTACCATGTTGTGGTCTGAGTCTGCTTTGACTGGACGAACCGGCTGGGGGGTGACAACCACGTTAGACACTCGGCCGTGATGTGCCTGCCTTGTCAGGATGTAGTCAAGGCGCTTGCAATCGTTTCCCGACACACCGTTGTATGTGTGCCATATTCCGCCCTTGCGTGTCTCGAAGAACGTGTTCGTGAGAGCTAGCCTGTTTTCCGTTGCGAAATTCAACAGTAGCATGCCATTGTCGTTGAGCTCATCACGCCCGTACATTCCTATTACCCTTCCGTCCCCTCCGTCCAACCTATCTCCCGTCCGCGCGTTGGCGTCCAATACGACATACACACAATCTTTGGAAGGGATCCTCCGCACGAGACTGTCAAGTTTTCCCCAGAACACGCGCTTGCTGTCGGCGGTTGAAGGTTCGGTTGGAGCATACGCGGCTACGAAGTTGAACGCTCCACGGTGGCCTGCCAACAGAAACCTCATGGCCATCAGGCGTTCGTCGATAAACTCCGTAGTGAACGTGGATGTCTTGCACAGTGACTCTTTGACGGCTATCCTCACACCATGGACTCCACCAGTCTCCGTGCCACAGCAGAACACCCGGAAACCCGCTGCTGCACATTCCGTTCGACCTGCCCTCCGTGTCTCCTGCATTCCTACCACCGATACGTTTTGTCTCGCTGCCTCGTGTAGAATGCTGCAGGCTCGCCCGTATCCATTGGCCCCGTTTACAGCCAAAGTCCGCACATTCCAGGTTGCTACCCTAAGAAGTTGACCCTGCTGTCTCTTTCGCGCGGCGCGCGCTGCTCTCTTAGCTAGCCTACGCGCCGCCCGACCCCTCCTTCTCCTCCATCTCCCCCTCTTTTTTTGTTTTTTTGCTTTTTTTTTGCGAACACTCGGGCTAACGTAATAGTTACCCCGGTTCTTGCCTTGTTTCCCATAGAGTTGTCTTCTTGTCCCGGAGCGGTGTGGCCTTCCATCTCTGGACTCTCTCCTTTCCTCTCTCTGGGGCATACCCCCACGGCGTGCGGTCACTCCGCCACCCTCACCGTGCTCTCTGCTGCTGCATAACCCCGGTGTCCAAGCCGGGGCGTTAGGATCCAGCCTCATTTTGCAGCTACCAAAGCTGGCGGTTCACGAGCTACCCCGATCTCACGACAGCAGTAACTCCCAACCACCAAACTCAGGATCTCCCTCTCAACAGTGCTAGGGACCGTATATCCGTCTTTGCTGGATGGTCTTTCGAGGTCTAGATCCACTTGCGGAACCTCGGCCTACCCCAGGGACGGGGGGGGCAGGCCGGGGAGGACAGTGCGATGACTCGCAACCTTATGGTACTGTTGTAGGAGAAACCATTCCTGATGCTGGAAGATACATGTATTTTGATTTTTTCAAGCAGGAGAGAATCCTGGTACGTAGACTAGGGGTGGGGAGGGTTCTGACCAAGTTCTGCTAAATGGAACGACTGCATATTGCCCAACTGCCCTTTTAACGACAGGCAATCGAAGAGCGGGACAAATCGACGCGGAATTCGCGTCTCGACTTGGCCTCTGGGGTCATAAAGCTGGTGATGAACGGCGAACAATGTGTGGAGGACGTTCGGTGCGTGATAATCGCCTGAAGTATGGCAATGGGTTTGCCGACGATGCATCCGAAGGTTGGACAAGGCAGTGTACTGACGCTAATTCTGTTCTGTAGGCCCATCTTCTTGCAAAATATAGAAAACAGCACGGTTTGTTTCGGTATCGTACTTTGTTATGACGTTCACGGGCTCTCGTCCAAGAGCGTCTTGAACAGAAGAGGAGTGACTAAAGTTCCTATATATATGTGGTCAAGTAACAGACATGGGCAACAGTCAAGAAGACGCTCCCTCGCTATATCCACCATTCCCACCTCACACCCAAGCAGGCCCCGGAGGCCCCGAAGATCAGTATTGACCCCGAGTACCTTGGAACAAGGTTCCCTATTAGAGTATAATCCCGTAAGAATCAATCCGATGTGTCGAGATTGATTTGACCACCTCAGGCGCGAGCGGCACGCGGAGAAGCTACGGCGCGCGTACGAAGCACTGGGTAGAGAACAGAACGGTATCTTCGAGTCCCTTGCCGAGTACACACACGAAGTCCAGGCAGAGGTGCGCGCGCTGCAAATCGCTCGGGATCGGCTGTACGTCGAGCAGCTACCTTCGAATACGCCGCCAGGTACTATTACACTGTTTTGTCGTGGTGTGGGGAGGCAGTCCTGTGATGTCATCGTTATCAGACGGTATGGCAAATGTACCGGAATGCACCGTATCTCGTGGATTAGGAGTCTGTCGTTGAATAGCAGCTGGAATTCATGAAAGGTACTATGTAGAAAGAACCCTGAAGGAGGAGAGGATGATCAAACCCTACTGTTGTAGCATTGGTACAAGCGCCTAGGTGCTACGCACCGCCACTGCCAAGTTAGTGCATACACGCCAGCAAGCACGGGGGCTTGTACTTTTACCGCCAACACCAACCGCATCGAGAGCAAATACCATACAGAACCCGGTCGATGTCCAACCATTTGTACGGAACAATCCCCTGCAAACGAATATCAGTGTGGTGAGTCGACATCTGACTGCATATTTTGGCAGTGATCTTGGCTAGCAATATGGCTGTGCCTCTGCAACCTCACGTGATGCCGTGCGGTTGGTTGAACCTTGCCATGCCTTCAGGGCGCGTGACCTTTTTCTTGTCTTTTTCTCTCTCTTTGCCTCTCCATCATAGCGCCCCTGAGGATCGGGCGGCCGCTTTTCCTTGGGGATCGCTGGCTCTCGTTCGACGTGGCGGCGGCAGGCGTTGTGGTCTGCGGCGTGCTCGGGGTCGTGTTGGGCTGGTGTTGGTATCAGGGAACATTATTTTGGGCTGGTCTTCGAAACAAGGATAAAAACCGACGGAATTTGCATGAGGAATGAATACCTTACACGTTCAGGTACACGGACATTTACCGCACTTGGCGGTGTTCTCTCTCGGTTAATATTTGCAACACACGTTATGTATTTAGCCGTTCAAAATGGTGTTTGCGCGTAGTGCACTGGGCGCGGCAGGTGGTTGGAAGTGTTTGTTGTAGAACTCATATGGGTATATTGTCTGCGGAGAAGAGTGTGATCGAGGAGTCACAGACTTTCGCTGAGAGTCTACAGCGCGGATGGCGTGCTTTCCAGGTGTGCACGGTGGTGCCAAATGAATCATACACATCCAAGTGTTGTTTACGAAGTTACAGGTTGATGTTGGGGTTGGGGTCTGGGATGTCGTAAACGCTGGTGACCATTTCGTACTCCAGCCTGGAATAGTTGCGTGCCAAGCCAAACTCAACGTCATCGGCTTGACTCGGCATCACAGGAAAAGAGGGGGTCCTCCGTTATAGACAGTGCACCCCCAAGAAGCCGCATGAGCGACGATGTCCCAGTACGCTTCATACATAGCAGAAACGTATCTCCGTCTGTGCTGTACACGTGTCCTTGTCGATCGCTGAGTCACAAACTCAAGGTCTGCTTCGCATGAGCCAAGAACCACACAACGCACTTTCTTTGGTGGATGCCATGAGCCCCATGGAGATCGATAGAAATCCCTTGTTCACTACCCACAGGACAACATCTAACCGGTACAACAGGGAAAACACCGCCTTTCACACCACCACGGGTCGCGTATCGCAGATGTCGGTGCCTCAACTCTTTCCTAAAGATTCTACCGCCACAGCCATATGACACCAGCCGATCGCCTTTGGCCTCTCTAGTCCCTGAAACCGCCCTAGAATCGCTCGTCCAGCTCCATTTTGAGTCTTTCCACCGCCTCCGTGATGTGCTTGTACCACTCGGTCCAACCGTCCATGTCCTCCGACAGGTCTGGCTCGTTCATAACCAGAACAGTTTGACCTTCCTCCACCTGATCACGACACGCCGTAGCGCCAAGACCGGCAGGGGCCAAAATAGAAACAGAGAGCACAAAAGTACACGCGGCGACGGTACAATGAACCAAAGAAAAGAGAGCGAGAGAATGAAAACTGCGACGAATCTCGTGTCGATGACAACAACTTGTGTACAGTTAGGGGTCCAGACAGGCGGTTATGGTATCAAGCAAACGGTGGTCTTACTTTAAAGACGGGCACAACCAACACGCCTGTGTGCGCACCAGCATAGGTCGAGCCGGAGCAGCTGGGAATTGCATTTTATTTTATTCATGTATGCCTGGACTGCATAACATCATTTTGTCAAAGAATCACTATTCCAGTGCTATGATTACCATCACTCGTCAAGGAATCGATCTTGCAGCGATATGCAGGAGACCTACGCCGACGGGGGCATTCGTAGCGCCGGCTCGCGGCTGCGCCCGACTTCTCGCAGTTTCCACCCCAGTTTGATCCGCAGACAGACTAAATGTAGCCATCCCACAAGGGCACATATGGTCGGCACAGGGATATAAAACGGCCGACCGGGCCACGTCGGTGATCGACGAGGCCACGCACGCGTGCGCATGCATCCAGTCGCATCAAAACCTCGCCCACCTGCATCCTGAAGCCAGAAGACAGAAGGATCTGAATACCTCCTTCGAAGCGACCCAAGGCCCGCTGAAAATTTTCGTTGTCGCGCTTGATGCGGCGAAACCGCGGGTCTTCCGGGTTGGAGGCGACGTTGCGCAGTATCTGGACCCAACAACAAAAAATCCAGCATGTCGTCAAGGCATGTCATATAGGTTCTGTGAAGCGGTTGCTTCTCGAAGGCGACGTGAGGATGCATGTCGAGAGAACATGCCAGCAAACACCGGACACGTACAAGCGCTAAGGTGCTGTGTTTGACGAAGGTTCTCATGAATCCCCCGAAGGCCACAGAACGATATTTCATTCTGCTGGCAGATCACGTGCGTGTCACACTGGAGTATCAGCCGCTTTGCTTGCCTGCTGCAACGCCTGAACTGCCGCTTTCTTTTCCGCGGGCTTTCCTCCGCAGGCGTCGTCGATGCGCCGTAATCCATCCTCCACCCCCGCTGCCCCGACCGCCACCGAGCTTGCTAGCTCTTGGGCCTCGCGCTCTCGCCTGAGGAATGAACACGGAAACACAAATCACATGCAGAGATAGGAAGCGAGAGAAATAAATTAATCGGGAAGAGGAACAAACAAATATTGGAACGAAAGAGAATAGTGGGTCAACAAAGTTATATACATATAGAGAGAGATAGAGAGAGAGCGGGAAGAGGAGACAAAATACGGCGTAAGAAACATGGAAAGGCCGCGCGAATAGTCGGCTCGCCGACCGAACGTAAGCACACCAAGAAGGGCACCCAAGGCGGGTAAGCTACACTGTTGTACCCTGTGCCAGTAAAAAATCCAAGTCCATCTAGACACCCAAGTACAAGCAAGCACATCAACGGCATCGTTTCTTGTCGGTGAATATACGCTGGAGCCGCACGTTTGCTTATCTTCCGCTAGCCTGGCTTCCTCCTGCTCGGCGGCACGTTGGCGCTCTTCTCGACTCTGAGCCGCCTCGGTCGCCAGGCGCTCCCTTTCTCGGTCGAGGATGCTCTGTGTCGCAACCTGTAGACCGTCATGGCGTACAGTATCGATGTGCGAGCACAAGGATTGCGAAAAGCGTGGAGGAATGTGTGTGGGGGGGGGGGGAGGAGAGGGGTGTCGAATGGGTTTACTATACATTGGTTTGCTGCCGCAGCTCCAGTGTCAAAAGGCAAGACACACAGAGGAGGAACACAGGGCGGCCGCAGCAAGGCGGTCTTTCGAACGTCGAATTGTCGGCGATGGGGTGTGCTTTGCCTCTAAGCGCGGGAGGCTGCTGCACCAGCCTGTGTAGATGCGCGTATGGAGACCTGAAATTTGACACAGTCTCACTCACAGCTCTTCGCCGTTCCTCCTCTGCCTCTGCTAGTCGGACCCGTTCACGCGCGTCCTCCTGCTGCTGCCTTTCCACCTCTCGCTGTGTGCGCGCAACCAAACAAGTGCACGAGAAGAGTCAACCTCAGGCACAGGTCGCAAGACGAACAGCAGTGTGCTTCGTTCTTTCCTGCCCCTTCCTCCTGTGCGTGTGACATACTCAGTGGTACGATAGAATACGACGCTTCCGATGCTGTCCAGTACACACAAAACGTAATCTCATCCGTCGCTCGCCCTACGTCACGCGGTCCAGTCCATGACAACGCAACCCCTCCCGAAGGAGACGAACACAAGTGGGTGACGACGAGGGAAAGGTTTGCGCGTTGATGTGATCGGACTCGAGCTTGCTCCATCATCCCTTACAGGTAAGGCAGCAGCACATCGGGGCACTTTTTCATGGCGGACCCGACGAAAGAAAACCATGATCGCCAACGGAACGTTCAAGATCACACATGGTGCTACGTACAATAGCGTGCTGCTGGTGCAACAGTAGAAACTTTAACGTTCATGTGTGCACGCCTCGGTGCCTACGTGTCTTTGCTCGAAACTCTACCTCGTCCCCATTTCCTTGTGCCCTTCTGTCTCTGTCAAAGTTCTGTGAATAATACAGTTTTGAGCCACAGCAGTACTATCGACGAGCACCTCCACCGACAAAACAAGAGAGACCGTGTGATCGAGGATGGAATTGGTCTTGTAGGAATGTGTCGTGTTTTGTGTCGCAAGTTACGCACCAACGCTGACATGATGCAAACTTGCGCTGAGGCGCCGCGAGAGAAGAACAGGGGAGGTACGTAGCCCTGAACGACGAACGGTAACCGACCTTCCGCGCCTCCTCCGCACTGACGGCTTCACGCGACTCGTGTTGCGAAACGGCGGCTGTGATCTCGGCTTCCAGCTGTGGCAGCCGCTCGAGAAGAGCCTGATGCTTGGCGCCGAGAGCAACAACCTTTGGAGAGTTCAGAACCACGAGGGCGGGTTAGGCAAGAGGGAAAACAAAATTTTGGTCGGGGAGGAGGGAGAGAGCGAGATGCGTAAGTGAGTGAGGGTGTTGAGGGGGGGGCGTACCCACGTTGTCATTTGACCATTAAACACGGCCAAGAACTGCGCACGACTCGTAGACATGTAGTCCAAAAAGAACTTCAGGCAGGTGTCATCGAGCCTACTAGCCGGGGTAGCCCGTCGGCGTTTGCATAGGGTGCGGGCGTGGCGAGCGGGTCGGGGCAGGGTTTACAGGAGTTCGCCAGCAGTAGCAACCGTTTCTCACCTTGGCGGTCATGCTCTCTCCGTACCGCGGCGCGCCCGAAACCGGGTCTGTCTCGTTCAAGCGCCTTTCGAACTTGGACACCTTCTTGGACAATTCGTCTTCCAGTCGCCCCTGATTCGTTTCGATATTAATGACGTTCGGAAGTGTTCCCCGAGATGGAGGTTTTCATTTGACACACACAGACAGCCGGGCACGACGAAGGCGGAGGGCGCGCAGCAGCAGCCCTCTGGCGGCAAGCGTGTGTCTGCTTGTTATGACACTAGCAGCAGCTGGTTTGCTGCTGTTCCATGCCTGCTGTTCAGATATTCTCGGACGAGCTCGCTTCGTGTACGATGTATCCTGTCTTTGGCGCCGCACGGAACAACACTCGGAATGATTGTAGTAGGACTCCACGCTCCGCGTTTGCACGCCCTCCGTGCGGTGGCCAATTCACATACAGAGATCACGCAGGTTTGAATGCAGCCATTTAGCTCCTACGCTGTGCAACTAGTGCATATTAGAAAGCAATCCCGGAACATAACGCAGCTCCGGCGAGCTGCACGGTCCCCACGACATGAAAAGGGACGGAGAAAAACAATACCTGGTATGCATACTTGTAGAAGCAAACGATAACGAGAGACTCGTATACAATGTAGTCCAGGGGGTGCTGGAATTGTAGCCCCTAGTGACAAATCCTCTCGAACTTTCTACTGCCAGTAGAGGGTGCGTCCCTGTGACCACGTGGCCGCCTCCTTGCTGCTGTATATGCTCGCGCGCGTTTCTGTGCAGGAGAACGTGAGTACGCTTTCGCCCGCAACCTACCAGCAGTACCGTTGCCTTCGGGAACGTTGCGGAAGGGCTTGCAACCTTTGCTGCGATGCAACTTCACCAGTAAAAACATGACATTTCTTGCTTTGGCCGGTTTTGTAACGGTGTTGTTAAGGTTTGACTCTCTCTCTCTCTCTCAAGGAAGTTCACAGCAAGGCGTTGTTGCAGTGTGAAGGTGTTGGCCGAAGTCTGTACCGTAATTTGCACGACTGTAGTTGCCACACTCCCGCGCGTGCTGCTTGCGTAGGTTTCTTAGAGAGCGGCACATGTTGGACCGATTTTCAAAGCTCGAACACTCGGCAGCAAACAGTCATCGGGCCGAAAGTGATGGCGTTGGAACCGTCTCGTCGACAGCTTCCCGAAAACGCATAATTTGATTGTGGAATCCTCTTCGTCGTTGAGTAATCGAGCTTTGAAAATCGGCCGGGTGGGAGTGATATCTTATGCAACCTACGGTTAAGCGCAGTAGCTTGTAGTAACAGAAACTTGCCTTCGCTGTGGAGAAGGTCGCTAACTTCTCGGGTGCCGGAGTGGAAGAATCGCTCCCTAGAGAACCCAGCAACTCCTCAAGACTCGCCAGATCTTCAGCTGTTCGCTTGAACTCCGTCATCGCTCACCACCCAGTTGGGTGTCTACCAAAGTGTGCGGGTGGGTTGATAGGTATTATGCTACAGCAGTGGAGGTGGCAAGTGCGGAGCAATGAGCAAATGGGGGGCGCGCAAACAAGAATATCAAGTACCCAACGCGACATTTGAAAAAAGTGGGAGGACTTCACATTATATGCTATGTGCATGTGTGCATGTATGCATACCAGGTGTGCTTTTGTGTTGGGGAGACTCAGACTCTCGTCTTGCCATTATATGCTTCCGTCACTCATCGCTATTGTTGTACCATTGCACATGCGGCGAAATGTCACAACAAAATGAAAGCATTCCTATGAATATCTCGATCCAGTGTTAGCATTCTTGCCCATTCTTCGAAGGGAAATTTGAAATTTGAGTGGTCACAAGGCACAACGACAATTACTCCTCCTCTTATATGTGCCTGGTGTGTGAGTCTCTTCTCATTGATGTGTTCCCACATTCTTATTCTTGCAAGGAAACACGAATCATTCGCCCGCCGCTTGCGCTCTTATAAACCTCCCATCAGTTGCTGTCTCCCACACCCACAGCGATGTATGCTGTGTTCCATAGGGTGGCCCAAAAATAAATGTGTCCAAGATCCTGATGACAATATTACAGCATTACCTCCGGTTGTTCCCCGGTAGTTCCAAGTGGTGCTGCTTTTCGCCCCCTTCTCACGCCGCCCCGAAATAGCAAACACTTCACGAAATACATTCTTGGACCAGTTTCTTTCGCGCTGCGAACAGTATTATAGTAGGGTCCAAAGCTCACCCAATATGCACAGCAGTGGAAGCGTTGGACAACAACAGCATTCACATCATGTACATGTGTTATTTACACTGTTAGAATCTCTTTCAACACTCGGCATCAATGAAACAAGTGCGCGTCATGAGCATGTCACGTGGCCATAGACAGACAGATGGGCACTTTGTGTGGCCGCTGAAGAAACAAAAAAAAAACGAGGCAAACACAAAAAATACCACCCGGTACTAAGAAGCAGCCCAAGGTCAACGATGGTAGACCGCCGCGCACAAAGCCTGCAGGGTGTTTAACGCTTCCAGCTGCTCATCGCCCGGTTGCAGACAAACCCCGAGCGACTCCCTAGCCTTCACACAAGCTGCGGTACATTTGTCCGTCCAGCCTGCATTGAAGCACAGCTCCGCAAGCTTGAGAAACTCGATGCCCAGCTCCTGGTCCTCGGGGCTGAACCTCCGCTTCAACACGCTCACCGCTCTTGCGCAAGCATCGGCGGCGCCGGGAAAGTCTTCGCGGCTCGCGAGCACGCGCGCGTGCATGTCGTGTGCGACGGCTCTCCGCATCGATGTGGTAGTCAGGTAGCGGTCGCGCCATCGGATGCGTTCCACGACAAGGCTCAACGTATCGGACGAGGCAGAAGACCCCGGAAAAGGGGCCGCATTTACCGAGCCATCCTCCGTTGTTGAGGATTTGCACGACCGCTCCCCAGTGTTTGGACGGGATCGCCTTGGCGGCGGCATGCTTTTCAGTTCCCCGTCGTCGCCACCTCCACAACGTCCAGCTTCCTTCTCGGAGCTTGACATCGCCGCCTTTGCCTCCTCCCACAGCCGGCGGTCCTCCTTGTCCTCCTTCAGCAGCGCGTCCGCCAGATCAGGCGGAACGCGGCTCCCGCAACGGTCACACCACAACACCACCACCTCCATTCTCCTGGGGCTCGGCGACGTCGACGACAGCGAAGCTACCGCTTGGACACGATTGAAACAGGGGCTTGGAACATTGGAGCTTTCAGCACCGGAGATGAGGCAACCCTGGGTCGTCGACGGGGGCGTGGGTGGTGCAAAAGGAGGAGGTGGAGGAGGAGATACTCCCACACGGAGCGTGCCGGGACAGGCACCGCTCTCTGCTTCAGTACAAGCGAAATCGGTCCGTTTCGAAAACGTCGCCTCGGTGGCTCTTCCCTCTTTCTCTCGATCGGTGAGTTGCCGTTCGTCGCCGCCCTCGCTGCCGCGTGAGCGACCGGACGGGGTGGTGGCAGTTTCTTCTGGGGGAGGGTGGCAGGCTATGCATTCGCACCGAAAAAAGTAGGCCCGGCTCAAGTATGCCTGACGCTCGGAAGCGGACGATATCTGTGGAGCCAGTCAGCGGCAAGTTCAGAAAAGGTGGAGAATCAGGCATCAGGAGTAAGCCTCACGAGCGGTATCTTGCTTGAGGATAATGCTGAACCACTGTCGCGGTAAAAACAGAAGGTAGGCACAAGAGGAACCCTTGCCTAGAAGAACCCTTGCCTAGAAGAAGCAAGGCGAAATGGTCGCTAGAGACTACGAATCGACTGGATTAAAAGGGAAAATTGACACAAAACTCGAAAGAGAAAGGAAGAGTTCCTGCTTTTCGTCGGGCCAACGAAGGGTGCCCTAGTCGGCGGTACGGTTCACCGGGCACCGGTTGAGTTCTGAACGCCATACTTCCGAACGTGCTGATAAGGCACGCGTTAAGAAGTTCGTTAGGATACCACGACGCTTCGATCACGTCACAAGCTGTGCATGCGACATCTCGTACGTTGCATCCGCAGACTGAGAACATATCATGACGGACGCTTGAAGCCAGCGTCACTGTAGGAGTTGGTCAGAACCACTTGTACTGCGAAACACGACCCATATGCATACAGCTTTACACGAACGAAACTCTCAAGTGAGAACTTCGGCAGCACTCATCTGGCACGTCATATACAGTGTTGGAGCGGCGATCGGGCAAACAAATCAGAACACGGGCGGAATATCCCGAACCGAAAAATGACGTTTCGACCCGATTGACGTCTCCCACCGGCCAACGACTTTCGGTCCATCACGTTTCTCTATCTGCGGGCACTTAATGTCTCTCTCAAACTCCAACTCTGATCTACACAACTTGAGGATAGCAGTCGTCTTGCGTGCGGTCCCAGTGATGACGTTCGGTAAAAGCACGGACCATTTGTGCACCAACCAAGCTACACCTGTCGGCTTGCCTACCTTTGACGCCAACGGCCCGTAGGAAATGGTAACAGGTTCTCCCCGCTCGATCGCACGGGTGGCCACCACTCTCATCTCTCCCCCATGAAAACTTGCCAGGGCGTTCGGACGGCAAGAGTGGTTCATCATCGATGCAACCAAGTAAAGCCCCACTGCTACCGTTGCGTGTTTCAAGGGTCGCACGTTGTGACCGGCCGGTGGGTCTGAGCACCGGAGCGATGAAACGGTGAAGGCGTTGGTGCTGACCTGGGTGGCGTGTGTTTTCGTGTTTGCACATAAATCAGAGGAGGGCATCGGCTCGTGTGAGGTCAAAAATACACTTTGCGGCGGAACCAAAGCAAGCTCTACTAGGGAGGAAGACCGAAAGCAAAAAACGCTGCATAAGCTGTAACAATGCTTCCCTCGGGAGTGGCACGCTAACCAGTAAGACTCGGTGCACACGACACGGGCAACAACAGGTCACGGGACGAACTTGCAGGCGATGCAGTATCACAGTATTGAGCACGTGCTGATGTACACTGAGTGATGATACAAAACATGAACGGCGATGATTTATCTCCTTTCAAACCAAACGACAACGAAGTGGCTCCCATCACTGCCGAGTGTACCCTGCCCCCCCCCACCTTGACCAGAGTTGTGGCTAGTTCCGCAGCAACCAGTTCACACGCCTCAGTGCTTGTTCGGGTTGCGCCCCGTCCGCTACCGCTGCTTCCAAGGCTGTCTGCGTCCAAATCTGTGCCGCTACCAAAGCCGCTGGCTAGAACTGCTGTAACCGCCGCCTCAGTCTCCAGCAAGTCCCTCTCTCGCGCAGATCGCGCAGCGTAGTGCTCCTGCAGGTTGCCCAGCTTTACGTTCGGCCACGCGACATCGTCACCACCACCCCTGGGAGGCGACGACGCGACGCTACCGAACCTATCGTGGCATGCACCTCGCGTCTCGGTTACGGTAACGGCAACATCCGCGCCACCCTTGCCTGAGCCCGTTCTCTTTGGTAGTGGGCCTCCCTGTCGTCTTGCTCGCTTGTATGCTCGTAGTGCCACCATGCAAGTAGGGGATATGCCGGACAATGCCGGTTCGAGGGGAGTACAAGAAGATGCGTCTAGGCATTCGCTGCCGTGCCACTCTTGGAGGGCGGCTGTCGAGCACGCGCGGCCGCAATATGCTACACGTCTACACTCGGGACAGAGACTCACCGGACCTGTTATCTGAACACGTGCACGCCGGAGGGCAAGGTACGTACCGTGTCAGCTCGCCCGTGTCGTCTCGAAAGCACATCGTGGCGCGTTATACCGAGAACACATGGGAAACGCGCGCACATACCGGGTATTGGCGTTCGAGGCCACACATGAATAGTTTCGGATTAGCGCAACGGCAAGCACCATACGCGTGTGCCATGTACCCCGTACCTCGCAGAGGCAGTGGGCGCAGAATTCACCATTGAACTCAGGGTGCAGACTCCAAGCGAACGGGGTCTCCCTCAGCAGAACCGTGCCCGCGGGTATCGCTCCCGCTCCCGAACCACCCCCGGCCACCACGTGCCGGCCGACGCTATCCGTGGACGCCAACGATAACAGCTGCGACACGATGTCGTTTTGAACTCGAACCTCCTCGCTTCGATCGGCCACCGCGTTAACGGGGGGTATATCCTCACTGGACCTCGTGCCATAATAGCGCGGCGCAGCAGGAGAATCGCCCGTGCTACAACCGTTCGCCCCGTTGTGTTGTTGCCGTTGGGGGTTGACACCCGTAGCCAGCGATGCCGTCCACCGCGCTAAGACGGCGCGATGCTTGGACAGCACTCTGGCCTTTCTCTTGGCACCATTGCGTGTTGCCTCGCGCAGCTTTTCGTGCGTGTCTGACGCGGCGGCAGGTCGGGACGAAAATGTATGCGTGTTGGAAGGCGTGTTTGGGGAGAGGCACGTCAGTTCCAAGCGTGCGCTGACACTAGGCAACAACAGTTAGCACGTTCACCCGGTGATGCATGTTGTATCGCAGGAACAGACAGGTGCGGTTACATTTCTCCTCGGGGTATCCCTGGCTATGACTTCAAGCCTGAAGCAGTCCGGCAAAGCATCACCTGGGATTCTGTTCTCCGTTAAAAAAATAGGGGGTCAAAGAGGGGCGAATTAAACCGACTTCACGGTGTTACGTGCCGCGCGGGCTTTTCCTGATTTTGACGCCCGCGATGACGATCGTGGTCGCACTCTTTCATGTGTTTGCAAAGCGGTAGTAGACTTTGACCATTCTACATTAACCTGATTCGAATTGCCGTTAGAGCACGCTTGAAACGTTTTGGAATTTTCATGCTCAGACCCATGTTTATGGTCGCCAAATGTTTGCGAAAATGTCGAAATTTTCAAATATTTGCGGATAAAGACTTTGTTTCACTTTTTATGGGAGAAAATCTTTGGCAAAATCTTCCCAAACATTTTCAAATGGGGCAAAAGTCGCTCGTTTGACAAAATGTTTGACAAACATTTTAAAATGGGGCAGGTCGCGAAAATATTTTCCAAGAGCGGCGAGAATAGTAGCCGACCGCCCCTTCCGTCCTTAAACACCAACCACTGCGCAGCGCACACTCAACGTAGTCAAGCTCATAGAGGGATCCGGACAACCCTAGAGTCACCGTGTCAACGTTTTGCCGGCTGATACATGGCGGGAGCTCGTCAAGCGTGCACTAAAAAACAGACAGGGGTGGTTTGGAGGGCGCGGAGAAAGCATGGTTTATGTTTCCGAACGGCAAAAAGTCGGCTGGTTGAGAGGAGACGTGAGTACAAAACTATCCAGCTCTCGTCCTCTAGACCATCGATTCATGTTTTGTCTTCTTGGGCGTCTTCTCCATCAACGGCTCTCATCCGGGTGTGCGTGGTTCAGCAGTGGACGTACTCAACAGGCAGGGAGGCGCGGCGCTGTGAACTCGATGTGTGAAAAAGTCTTTTTTGGGACGGAGGAACAAGCCCTCTATAT